GCTGGGGGTGGGAATGGGGACAGTGGGAAATAGCGGGGCTTGGTTTCTCCCTCAGGCTGACCCAGAGCCTCGGAACATGACAAAATTCCCCAGATCCCCAGCAAGCAGGACAGGAGGAGAGAGCAGTCCCTAATTCCAATATTCCCTGTGGTGCAGGTAGGGTATCGGGTTCCTGAAATGGGAAATCCAGGTCTCTGTTGTCCGCTTGTCCCTTCCGGCGCCCCCAGCATGAAAAGTCACCAAGGACCTCCGGCTGGTGATCCTTCACCCAAGAATTCTCGGGCTAGGTTGGGGGAAGTGACTCTGTCGGCCCAACAGGGGACCCCTGGGCCGGAAATGAAGTGTCCGTGGAGGGTGGGGCAGGCCCGGCCCCCCTGTCGCGGCCCGTGAGGGTGGGATCTGTGTCCCCCGCCCTCCCTGCCGGACCCCCAGTACCGGAAGTCGCTGTAGGGGTGGATGATCCAGGCCCCCGCTGACTTGACCCGCTCCTGCTCGATTTCCACTGCTTTGTGGCTGCCGAACACGCGAAGGGAGAACTTGTTGACCGTGGGCTGGAGCAGCGTCCCGAGCTGCCTCCTCTTGGGCTCGGGCCCGGTCCCGGGCCTGGACCCAGGGATCGGATCCGAGGCCGTGGTTGTAGACGCCGGGGCAGCAGGAGGCGCCCTCTCCAGCCCAGGGGTCGCCCCATCGCTGGCCGTAGTCGTCGGCCTCTGCTCCGCCTCCATGACGCCCGTTAGCTTACACGTTTGGCCTCCTAGACCCTGCCGCGGCCATTCGGGACCCCCGACCCCCCCCGGAGTCGGAGCGGGCGCAGCCCGGCTGACTCGGAGCGGAGGCGTAGTCGGCTGGGAACCGCCGGCGCGCGGAGAGGAGGGGGTGTGTGCGACAGACTCTCCCGCGGGCGGCGGGCGGGTTGCGATGCGCCCCCTGGCGAAAGCCGAGCGAAGGCTGGGCAGGGCGGGCGGAGGCGGGGCGGACCGAGAGCCATCCCGGGAGGGGGCGGGACCAATGTAACCTGTAACCCGAGGGACCCCCAGGTGGGCGTGGCTTAGCCAATGGGGGCGGCCCTCCAAGTATAGGAAGAGAAGGAGGGGAAACGAAGCCAGTGCCACGGAGAGGGCATGGTCTAGAGTTGAAGGGCTTTTATCCACTGAGTGCCAGGGAGGCGGAGCCGCCTGCGAGTGGCGGGTAAACCGGATGCTGGTTGTAGCTCAGGAGGCTCGGGAGGGCGAAGAATTGGGAACCAGTGGAAGAGATGGGGAATAGCTTGTAGGATTCTTCTTACCCACTCTCGCTTATGGACTTCCTGCGTTTCACTTTTTTCTCTCAGCACTCTCCTAGGCATACTCCTTTCTTCTGACCTCCTCCATACTGCTCCCCCTCGTATTTCATTTCCGAACTCATCTGCCAGCCCTCACCAAAAGCAATTCTGCCAGTTACTGAGTGGACGCTGAGGATACAAGGATGAACACAAAGTCCTATCCATAAAGCCAGTGCTCCTCTATGCCCGCAGATGAGACAGGTAAATTACAGTGCTATGTGATGTAAAGGGCTATTTTGGGGATTTTTTTGGCTGTGCTGCGCGGCTTGCGGGATCTTAGGTCCCCGACCAGGGACTGAATTGAAACCTGGGCCCTCGGCAGTGAAAGTGTAGAGTCCTAACCACTGGATCACCAGGGAATTCCCTGAAAGTTATTAAATATCTCAAATTCTTCCCCTCATCTCCACTTCTTATTGTCACTGCCTTATTTAAAGCCCTCAGAATTTTTTCACCTAGATTATTTCAGACGCCTCTAAACGGGTCTCTGAACTCTCTCAGGCCAATTATTTTTCCACAGTCTGCCAGAGTTACCTTCCTAAATCCAAATGTAGCTATATCACTTGCTTAATGTCCTTCAAACTTCCCCATCTTCTATAGGATTACAGTTAAATTCCTTAGAATGACATACAAGGCCCTGCAAAATTTGGACCTAGTTTCAACAACCTTTATTGTGATAGTCCCTCTCTTGAAAGCCAGGAGTCCAATTCTGTTTAGATGTTTTGTTCTGCTTTGTCTCCAGACCTTTGCAAATATATTCTCTGCCTGCTATCCTTCTCCTCCAATTCACTTTCCAACAGTTGGTTCAGATGTCATCTCCTCTAGGAAACCTAAATAGAAACAAATTTATAACTCTACTTTCCCAAGCTAGGGTCTAGTCTACAGCTTTCTTAGTGACCAGGGCACCGCTGTTTATAACAGCTCTTGTCACACAGCTGCCAATATTTGTTTACAGGTCTTTCTCTTCCATTAGACCATCGGTCCCCAACCTTATGGCACCAGGGACTGGTTTCTTAGAAGACAATTTTTCCACGGATGGGGGGTGGGGTGGGGGATGGTTCAGGTGGTAATGCGAGCGATGGGGGGATGGTTTAGGCAGTAGAGCGACTGGGAGTGATGGGGAGTGGCAGATGAAGCTTTGCTTGCTCCCCGCCTGCCGCTCACCTCCTGCCGTGTGGCCTGGTTTCTAACAGGCCACTGACAGGACAGGTCCATGGCCCCGAGGGTTGGGGACCCCTGCGTTAGACTGTGAAGCTGTGAAGAACAAAAGCCTTATGCCTGCCACAATGCTGGACACATAGTGAACACTTAGTAAATGCTTGTTGAATGAATAAGGGAAGTGTTCATGGAAGAGCAAGTGAACTACACTGCCCTCTTCACCCCTTAATTATTCTTCCTCTTCTATTTTAGGAAACTTCCTAAACCATTTCTGGCCAACTGATGTAAGCTCCATCTGATTATCCACCATCCTGGCTTCCCTCAGATATTTTACTTGAATATAGTTATCCTCAGGTTATTTTTTTCATTTCCCTTATTATTTCTCAATTCCTTTTGTAGCGTCTCTAACTCTGCCCAGTTTGTCTCAAGGTCTCCTTCACTTTCCTTTTTTTTAATTCAGTAAATTTACACTTCTCATATATCATGTGTAAGTACGTAACATAAAGTTCTCAAAAACTTTCCCTTTCTTTGGCACCTGATTCTCCACCCCTCCATTTCTCAAACCTTTCCTCCAAGGCCATACCCCGCTCCCCCACCCACCCCGAAACGTGCGTAGCTTTTGCTCAGGAGGAAAGGTGGGTGCCATTCTTTGCTGTGGTTAGGTTGCCGAACTGTTTTAAGAAATGAACTTTCACAGGCTATGCTTGAGAATCACACCTCACCACCAAGTCTCAAAAGATTTGCAGACCGGCGACATTCCGTAAACCACAACCCTTTCTTTTCAACCTCCAAACCTAACAAAACAAGCCACAGGAGTCTCATGGAATAGGTAAAAGATCGAGGAAGGATACGGAAGGACACGAGGGGCTGAGGGGGGCGGGGGGCGCGGGCCTGGTAATTCCCGACAACTCTCTCCCTGCCCCCACGAACTTCCACCCTACCACCTCCGCTCTCACGGGCGGACTGCCGCGAGCTACGCGAGGACGCGCTGGCGTGCGCGGTCCTGGGGGCGGAGCCCAGGGGTAGCTGGGAAGCGACGCAGGACGTGCGTGCGTGCGTACGTGCTCGCTCGCGGTGGCGGCGGCGGATCGGAGAGGCCAGAGCCGGAGACCGAGCTGGGATCGGGCCCCGGGCGGGGGCGGTGCGAGCGGCGCCAAGCGGATCCTGGGGGCGGGGACGGAGCCGGGGCGGGCGGGACTGGAGCGGAGCCCGGGAACTAGGCGGGAGGTCCCAGGGTCTTGGGTTAGGGGGGTGGAGCCGCACTTCGTCGCCGCGGGGGTGCCGGGACTCCGGCCTCAGTGCCGCCGCCATCACGGACTTCCTGTGGGACAAGCGCACGGGCCTCGCCGCCAGAACGGTGAGCGCGCGGGCTGGCGGGCCGCGGGGCCGCGCGGAAAGATGGCGACCGCAGGGCGGGCGGGAACAAGATTGGATTGGGGGCAAGGGGTCTGGGCGAAATTAGGAGAGGGGGAGGGCTGAGAACTGGAAAGTGGCAGAGGTGAGGAGTAGGGAGATGAGATGGAAGGTCGACCTGCCCTAGATGTATTCTGGAAGACAGGTGGGGAAGTTGGGAGGGATCAAAGTAGGAGAAGGGGTGATGGAGTACGGATAGGAGTGGTTCCAGAGATGAGAAAGAGCAGACTATCAAAGTTGGACCAAAGCCTGAGAGGGGAAAGACACCACTGTGTCACTTGGAGGATATGGAAAGAGTTTTACACTAGGAGTTATTTCTGGATTTTCTGAGTGAGAAAGAGAAAAAAAAGATGCACAAGTTGAGAAAGGTTGCAGGCTGGAGATCCTTGGGGGAATGTGGAGAAGGACAGCCTGTGAGGGACTTTGGTGGCAGTTTGTATATGGTGAGATGACATTTGTGTGGTTGTGCTAAGCAAGGTTGGATTACCTGGGAGAGTCTTGTGCTTGCATCTTCTTGGTTTCCTACAAGCCCTGTTAGGCCAGGAATGAATCAAATGCCACCCTCCTCAATTTGAGAAGTAGCTCAGAATGGGAGCCAGATGTTGGAGTCATGCCTTTTCCACGCCTAATCCTACCCCACCTAACAAGACTTCTGTCCCTGGGCCTATTTAACTGCTTTCTGCCCTCCTCTTCTCATCTTCCTGGATTGTGACAGTGATTACCCTCTGATTCTTTCCTTCAAGGAAAAAAAGGATTTATGCACCATGCCATTCCAATTCCAATAACCAGAAGGTGGCCAGCTTTTAGCCAACTGGTGCTGATATTAATTAAAAACCAGTTATTCTGTACTTAGTAAGCACAAAAGGGGAGGGGCTGGATGGGAAGCTGACTGCAGCTTGGAGCCACATGTATTTAAAACCACTCAAGGGGGATTTGGCCAGTGATGTGAGAAATGATTAAGATAGTTCAAGGGGCCAGATCCAGATCCCTGTAACTTGCTTATATTTGGTTTATACAACTATATGTAGAAACCTGGAAACTGGATTCCTGCCTTCAGGACATAGATGGCCTATTTGGGGAGATAAGATATACTTTTAATGATTGTAAAACATTTGTGATAATAGTCTGTAGTAAAGCATTATTTTGTTGAGTTATGAGGAACTTAGCGTGGCACAGATCTAACCTAGATACCAGCCAATGATGAACTGTTGCAGTCTTCAGTTACACAGTCTCAACTGTAATGAGCTGTGGCCCAGACCTGAATGTCTTCATGAAGGCATGTTTGAGGAAAATCAGAATAGAGCAATGAGCTGAGTGGGGGTGAAGATTCCTAAAGTTTTTAGCTAGAGTTAGTAGGTGAATATATATACTCCATTAAGGAGGAATTGTAAGCACAGAGGAAGACTGAGGAAGTTGTGAATGGTTTAAAAAAAAAAGTAGAAATTGAAGAGCAGAAAGCAGCTTAGCATCTCTGGAGCAGCCAGTCCTTGGAGGGGACTTCTGAAAACTCAGAGCTCGCCTCACTATTGCTACTTTTCCTTCCCTTCCAGATGCCTCATCCTCGAAGGTACCACTCTTCAGAGAGAGGCAGCCGGGGGAGTTACCACGAGCACTATCGGAGCCGAAAGCATAAGAGACGAAGAAGCCGTTCCTGGTCAAGCAGCAGTGACCGGACACGGCGGCGCCGACGAGAAGACAGCTACCATGTCCGTTCCCGGAGGTGAGGCTTCAGGAGGAGAACCTCACACTTGACCCACTCACTTATTCATTTATTCAACAAAGATTTATTGGTTTCAAGCTAAGTAGCTGGTGGAAGGTGATGCTCAAAACGGATAAC